CCATTAGTGCTACTGGCTTTAATTAGGCAACATTACAAAACAGAAGGAGTCTGAACACCATATACGAGTAAAAAGCCAAGTACACAAATGATGAAATAGAGGTTAACAGGCACTATTCTTTTAAACTAAATCTAGGCCTTCAATTTCTAGTTCTAAAACCTTGCAACATTTTTAATGCCATCAGAAGACCTACTAGTTATTTCTTGCATAGCCCAGGGAATTACATTGTCAGAAGTTTCCATTTTGTCACATCTCTACACATTTGAAGTCAGCTTTAGAGTCAAGGGGAAGAATTTGTACATTGAATTAATTTTATTTTTTGGCCCTATGCGTTCTCTTGAAAGGGACTCAATTTCTTCCTCTACACTTCAATAGGCACTGATTTAAATAATGAGCCATTTTAAAACTGTTTATATTCAGGGGTGGGAAAAAACTAGTTGCTACGCCCAATACTGCAGCTGCCCTTGCATAAATGTGAGCTCTGATAAGCTGCATTTTTTGTTTTGTTTTGTTAGTTTTGACACAGTAAACAAGGATGTCCCTGTCAGCCCAACTCTTAGCAAGAGCCAGATTCATCTGGTCTTGACTGTGGAAATGCAATGGTAGAAAGTTCTGCATCTTAATTAAATGCATTTCACTAATAAAGTGTTTCCTTAATGAGAGCTGCCCTTTGGTCTCCAAAGCCCATAGCCAAGGGACCCAGTTATTTTTTGGGAAAAACTAGAACTACAAAAGAAAAAAGTCTCTACTTTCATTTCTAAAGATGAGTAAATTTTAACTCTTCTTTGAGAAGATGGTTTTATGTTTTCAAGGCTAATATAAACCAAAGTAAACCAATCAAAGGTTGAGAGAAATATAGCAGCTGGACTCTGCCTCTACAGCAGAAAGTCTGTGGGATGGGGACCTAAAGATACAAAAACACCCACAAATGTAAAAGTAAATTTGTTAAGTGTGTCCCAAAAGTCTTCTCACTATTCCTCCCCCAAATCCTCAGGCCAGCACTGTGCCTAGTACTGTGATCATGGCAGACTCCCTTGCATTGGAAGGGCTTTGCAAGCATCTCCAAAGATGCTATGGAAGCTTTGCATTACTACTTCAGCATGCATGGAAGGGCTGGAGTAATGTGGCAAAGCTCAAAGCAAGTGTCAAGGTTTAAAACAAAGAGCTCTATAAACACATCTCCATAGTCAGGTGGAACAAGCAACAGTGAAGCAGCTCACTGAAGAGCCTCTGAGAAGCCCTGTCAAGTCTCACTCAAATATGGCTTTTATCTGTTTGTGTAAAGCCCTCTTTTTGGTTTGCCTTTAAGTTGAACTGAAGCTTCATAATAAGATCAAATTCTCCATGAGCAGAACTCAGCTCTTCAGAGACGCTGTTCTATTAAACTGTGCATTTTACGCTTATAGATCTTCCTTACAGGGAAAAAGAACAGGAGTGCTTGTGGCACCTTAGAGACTAACAAATGTATTAGAGCATAAGCTTTCGTGGCCACGAAAGCTTATGCTCTAATCAATTTGTTAGTCTCTAAGGTGCCACAAGTACTCCTGTTCTTTTTGCGGATACAGACTAACACGGCTGCTACTCTGAAACCTTACAGGGAACACCGCTCAGGATAATATTTTATTAAGGCTTATTTTAAACCTGTAGCTTTAATACTTTAACCATTCTTTTAAAGTCAAGATTACACAACAGGCCATTTAACCCAAAAAGTCTAGAAGGAGGCAGGTGATACTTCGATAATGCTCTAGCCCCAATATTCAAACTGATCTACAGAAGTTCAGAAACATGCACTGGACTGGAAAAGAACATGGTCACTGTATTGTATGGGACTGAGGGGGAGATGATTGGCCCACAGAACAGAACCACTAGAGAACCATACCTTTTTTACAAATGAAGCTACAGATTGTCAATGCTCCAGAGAAGCGCACAACTAGTTGAAGTGCTGCCGAGAAAGACTGAGGTACATTTGCAAAGCTGTGTGCAGAAGCTTTCACAATACATGCCCTAGGTACACTAGCCTGGCTCTGGTCCTTGTCTTTCCAAGGAAATTTAGAAAACTATCCAATTTAAATACATACATCTGATCTGCTTCAATGGAAATATTCAAGAGAGTGATACAAGTGGGGCAAGTGAAGACAAATTCTAAAGACCTGTTTCTGAAATGGGCGGTAAGGGACTGCACAGTGTGGTGTTTTGTTTTTTTAAATACATAACTGAAGAACTGAATTTGAACAAAATCTTTAAAAAAAGACACACACACAAACTTGCATCATTGGTATCTAGTTTTAATTTTGTAAAATGAGTCTGAAAAGATTCCTTTATAATTGGGATTAGTTTCAGGAAAGACCCAACAGCCAAGGAAACTACAAGAGATCTTGCAAAAGACTCTTACAAAGCTCCACAAAGCACTGATTGTTCACAGTCTTTAGCAAACAGTTCATGTATCAGGTGACTCAATACATTCAGAATAGTGCCTTCAATTCGAAATGCAGACGGTTACACCTTTTGTGCCAGTATCAAATATTTTAGCTTTTACACTATTAGTCCTATCAATGGACCAAGAAGAGATCAACAATTTCAGTTTAATCACAAATTTCCGAATACTGACTGGGAACTGCTTTTCTTATACACCAGTATTTTGCTCTAGATGACATGAGTGTCCAAAAGTTATGAAAGTGTGGTATTCTGTATATGGTGGTGAAAGAAAATGTTGAGATAGAATGTTGGTACATTTTTATTCCCCGTTCAGTTCTTTTTGGAGGTAAGTGAGATTTGAGGGTCCAAAAATATCTTTCCAAATCCTTCATATAACTAGAAACATATCTACAGCAATTTTACTTCTAGTAGTTAGCTGTCTGGATGACAATTAGGAGATACTTTTTTAATATTGCCAAATTAAAAAAACATACAAAATACATATTAAAAGCAAGCAAATGTTTTAGAACAACTTTATGAAAGGCTTTTTATTTTCAAGGTGTATTTACATATTCCATGAAGTGCCATCACCTCCAGCAGTGTACAGTTCAACTCCTTCACAGCTGGAAGATTTTTAAATCAATCGCCACACCATTTTGTAAGCTCAATACAACCAGAAGTTGATTGGAGGGTGGAGGAGGGAGATGGAAGAGATTAAGTAGAAGAAATAAGTTCTGATCTCAAGTACGTGGTCAGGAAGATATACAGCTAATATGGGATGTTTGGCCAACTAAGGGTTTCAAAATCCCCACAGACACAAAGGCATTGAGTAGTTTAAGAGACCCCTTCAAAATTCATTTTGCCAAAAACATTAAGTTTTTTTTATTTGGTATATGGGAAAGGTCTGACTTGAACAAGACCTTGCTCTCTCGCTCCATAGAGTTCTATTATTGGGTAAGCTATGCAGTGAATACATAAATTAGAGCTGGGTTAACTAGTCTGGGTAAAGAACTAACTCCCAAGAACCAGACCTTTTTGAAGGACTGGAAGTGTTTGATTAGACTATCAAATATAATATATGGAGATATAACTCTCATAGAACTGGAAGGGACCTTGAAAGGTCATTGAGTCCAGCCCCCTGCCTTCACTAGCAGGACCAAGTACTGATTTTGCCCCAGATCCTTAAGTGGCCCCCTCAAGGATTGAACTCACAACCCTGGTTTAGCAGGCCAATGCTCAAATCACTGAGCTATCCCTCCCCATCCTCCCTCCTGCACTTGGTCATCCCCAAAACCCAACTCTTTTGTCTTGACAATCCCAGCATAGTGCTGCTTTTTCCTACCATCCCTATGGCCTCACCTATCAAGCCCCCACTTACTCTTTAGATGCACATCACATGGACCCTTCACCTCTTGCAGGCTCAAGATTGGGGGGCGGGGGGGGAGGAGAATATTTGAATATTTCTAATATTGGATCAATTAATCATTTTCAGCTGATTGAACAGCAGGTTCGCTAATCCTGCTGCTGAAGTAACCCAAAACTAGGAGCTCAGAGTACTCCCCCACACCTTTCAAACACTCCTCACTTGCAGGAATACTCCACATTTAGAAATGCTCTTCTGTTTTTCCTCCTCGTGACCATATTTGCCAAATAGCCATTCCAACGGTGGCAACTGCAAATTGCTCCCACCAACTAGCAACAAGAAGTTGGATCCTCAGCAAGATATACAAAGGTGGCAGGGAGAGTGAAGAAAAGATGTGGGAAGAAACCGAGGGAAGCAGTTAGGCAAGAGGAGACTGAAATGGACAGTCCATAAATTAAATAAAGGGGGTTGGTGGGTGCTTCATTTTGTGTGTTTCAATGTTACAAAATGTTAAAAGGAGATGGGTTGGTCTTGGAAATCACCAAAAAATGTGTTATGTAATTTATGGAGAGTCCCAAAGTCATGGCGAAGGCACAACCCAAATCCCATATTTGAGTTAACTGTATTTGATTACATGAATAAGTTAATGCTGGGATACGAATGAGACTCCTTCCAGCAGAGGCTAATAGTATCATAGCAACAGGAACATGAGACAATATTGGCTTGCTACTAATAAATATTTTAGCGTTGTTTCTTTCGGTTTTGCTCTAGAATAGGAGACTCACCCTATTTCCCCATTTAAAACCTGAAGATTAGAAGCTTCAGTGACTGAAGTCTTCTCTTCAGAGTCCAGAGAACGAAAGCTAGCTTAATTATGTATTTTACTATTTTAGCAGATATCATAAGCTAGAGTTGAAACATTGCTTTTTAAAACTTTAAAGTTTTTCTGTGGAGTTAATAATGAAGTTAAGGATTATTAAAAATAATAAAAAAACCTATAATTACCCAACTCTCAACCTTTAGAACCATTATTTACAGAGGCAGAACAAATAGAATCATTACTAGAGGAAAAATTACAAGACTCTCAGATAACATTATTACTTTTGCTAAGATGAAGACCCACCCAAGTGCAAGTTTCCTTAAACCCCAGGAAAGTTTTTAGATGCTGTTCCCCAAAGTAGTAGTTTTTTGTGGCATTTCAATTCCTTATGTATAAGGTTACCTGGGAGATATGGTTGATGGAGGACTCCATTCTCCGCAGCTGGGATGCTTGAATGTCCAGCAGTTGGAGTACATTGTTGGCCAGTGCATTGATCTGATAAGCAACACTAGCAAGAGACTGGGTTGTGTATGCTTTGGTCTCTTCTAATGCTTTCCTTTTATCGGGAGCCTGAAAAACAACAAACAAGATGTCATTTTTGTAAGGCCAGAAGAGAGGAGTACAAAACATTACTTTTAGAATTTCATTCACCCAAAAGGCCTGAGTGAGTAACTGCTCTGACTGCACAAACAAATCTACATCAAGCAAGAACTTACATGAAGAGAAAAAAAAACCCACTAAGGCTCTAAAAACATATGATGGTTTTGTTTAAGTAAAAATGTTCTATGCTAAGAAACGATTCTCTAAGTTGAGACATGACTACTATCAATTCTCTGGAGCAGGGCTTTTGTAACCCGCCTATCTTTCGCTTCCAGAGAGAAGCTTCCAATTCCTCTGACAAGTGAAATCCAGCTTCTCTTCACAGTACCCAAGCCAATTAAAAAAGGGAAAAGCATTTTCCCACAATTGGGTGTCCCCCAGTGCACAAATTTTTACCATGAAGCCAACTCTACAGCTGTGTTGGCTGCTTATTCCACAGTGGGGGAGGAGAGAACGCCGAGTGTCAGGAGGACATGCATACATAAGGCTCCTGCATCCAAGAGCCTTTGTGAAATTATTCCTGCTCCAATGAGGATTTGATAAACCTTCCTTCAGCTGGGGAAGCAGTCCCAAACTAAGGAAAGAGTCATACATATGTGGAGGGGGTAGAGGGTCTAAAACAGATGGGCAAACTATGCCTGTGGGCCACATACAGCACATGAGACGTCGTGATCTGGCCCTTGAGTTCTCGCTGGGGAGCAGGGTCTGGGGCTTGCCTTGCTCTTGTGCTCCAGCCAGGAAGTGGGGTCGGGGGCTTGCCCCACTCCACATGGCTCCCAGAAGCAGAAGCATATCCCCCTTCTGGCTCCTACATGAACTGCAGCCAATGGGAGCTGCAGGGGCAGTGCCTGTGGACAGGACAGTGTGCAGAGCCACCTGGCTGTGCCTCCCAGGTGGGGAGGGACCATGCCACTGCTTGAGGTAAGCACCAACCGGAGCCTGCACCCCTAACCTCCTCCCATGCCCAACCCCAGCCCTTATCTCCCTCCTGCCCTCTGAACCCCTTGGTCTCAGCCCAGAGCATGCTCCTGCACCCCAAACTCCTTATTCCCAGCCCCACTCCAGAGCCTGCAACCCCAGCCGGAGCCCTCACCTCCTCCTGCATCCCAACCCCAATTTTGTGAGCATTCATGGTCCGCCATACAATCACCATACCCAGATGTGGCCCTCGGGCCCAAAAATAAAAAAAGTTACGCCCACCCCTGGTCCAAAACAATAAAAGATCTCCCTCAGACTTCTCCCTGCAAGGAAACAAGAAGTGTCAAGTATCCCAGTGGCTACTGCAGTTACACTTTTGCTGCTTCTCCCTCCCTCCCCATGACAATCTTCACCGGTTACCTGTGGTAACTGCCTCCTCCACCACCACCCACCTTAACGCTCACTTCCCAAACTAAACATTGGGGCGTGAAGGGAGAAGAGAGACAACACAAGCACAATGATGCACTTACAGTGACATTTGCCTTTTCAAGTGTGTTGTATACAAGCAATATGGGAAGCAGAGCTGTGAATTTTCCCTACACCACACCTCAATAGGGTGAGGTTCAAAGCCAAACTGAGATTAGTCCCCTAATCCCCCTTCAGAGCAGCAATTCATGCCTACCTGGTCCCTCCCAAAAGGAGGAATTATTTTCTACTGACAAAGTGAAATGTGCAGGGAAGGAATGAAGTCTCATCAGAAGGATGACCTACTGCAAATGCAAGTTTCTTTGTATTTTATTGATTTATAGAGCACCGAATCACAACAGCTACACTCGCTTTTGGGGAAAGGTTTCTATTCTAAACCCTTCCTTTCAATTCTGGATTTCTTCTCTTCTCTCCTCCCGCTGCCCCCCCCTTTTTTTTGTTTGTTTGTTATTCTTTAAAGAAGTTGAAAATAAAGGAGAAAATAAAGGAGAAAAGAAATAGTTTTTCTACTATTCCTTGCAATAGTAAGTTTAAATTAAGCATAGCAAAAATCAGGGAATCTGAGTTCAGTTTGTTCTCCACCTCAGCCCTGCATTTCCTGACTTCGGCTTGCTTAAGTATCATTCTTAAAATCTTGCATCATTAACTCTTTTGCCTCCACATTTTTGTTTAATATTCAGGAGTGATGATACTATTAAGGATGGTGTCAGAGAAGTCAACCCTTTTTTACATTAAATACTTATTTATATTAAAATTAATTTCTAGCAATGGTTTAATAGAAAGCATTAGCAGTGACTGGGGGCATGCCATCCTCCATGAAAGGGATGTGGTGGGGAATTAAAGACAGACTCTGAAGTAGAGGACACTCTGCAACAAAGCAGCAAAAAGAATGAAGTCTAATCTAATCAAAACGGTTAATAGTAAAGGGTAGACCACCATCATCGTCCATAGCATGTTTTGACAGAAGCCAAGAAATTTTCAAAATTCCACCAAGAGTCTTAACTAAAACAAACAATGCTATTGGTCAGCCATCAGGGATACTGAATGTTTTCTATGTTTGAACCAGAGTTGCTATCACTGGTTCAACCACTGGTGATAGCAAGATTGGCAATATAGACAGGTTACCATTATTTTAAACCACTGTGCTATCTATACATGCTGTCAGCAGGATTAAACACAGTAGTTAAAAAGCCAACAGGTTCCTAACACTTCTGCCAATGGTGGAGTGGCAGCCACAGTGATAAATTTCAAGCGACAGGTTTAATGTAGTAGAAACAGCCAGGATGAATCCAGTCAGCACAACTCGCACCTCAACGATTCCAAGTATGGCCTCCTCTGGCAGTCCTTACCGAAACATGACACTTATTGAGGAGTTGTGTGTGACTATGGACTGGAGAATCAGGCAATAAGAACATGCTACAAAGACAACACTTGCAGTAACTAGATGAGAGATTGAGTGCTGTCAAATGGTGGGGGGGAGGGAGGAGAAAACGAAAACCTTTTATTTCTCTGGCAATTTCAGCAAGCAACTGGAGTCATTTGACAAAATGTCTGATCCCCACCTTTCAGTTATTTGACTCAGACATTTTAGTCATTTGAACAAAAAAAATTGTTCATCATCATGATTATATAAAACAGCCTTTCTGAGGAAAATATATAGCACCAAGGGTCAGTTACCCCAACAGAATTTGGTTAGTACAATTCTCAAAAGCGTCACTGGTAAAACAAACAGGGAAATTTCTCTTTGCTCTTTCTGTAATTGTTTGGGTTAAAGCTAACGTGACATTTAGGCTTGTGCATTACACAACTGGGAGCTAGTGGTATAAGTCTCCTAATACAGATTCAAAAAAACAGATATGCCTGCCACCTTTTTTAGGGTTTTTGAGGCAAGGAGGATCAGATTTGTTTTCCGTTACAAAAGACTTATTATAATGGAGTTAAACAACATAGCTTTTTTGTAGCTTTGTCATGGCACCAAGATTGATAGTACTTGGTACTTACAGCATTTTTCAGAGGATTTCCACCTATATTCATGCCTTGTAACTCCCCTATGTGGTAGGAAGTATTCTACCAATTGTACAGGGGGTGACATGGATGCACAGGCCAACTTGTCCAAGTTCACACACTGAAATCAGAGCAGGAACAGAGCTCTGGTCTTCTAGAACCATTACTCTATTCGTCCTCTCCTTGAGCGGATGCTCTAATACCAGGCAGTGGTGTTTTCAATGTCAAAAGTCTCACTTTCCTTTAAAAGGAGTGCAATACATGTGCATTTCCCCCCACACAACAGAACAGTTTTTGAAATAAGAGCCAGATCCTGGTTCCATTAAGTTCTACAGGAAAATTCCCACTGATTTCAATAGAATCAAGATTTGATCCAATGGCCTCCTGTAAACCATTAGGTAGGAACAATTGCTCAGATGATGTTTCAACCCCTTGAACCAGGTTCAGGCAGATTTGGCAAACATACCAAAGATATTTATAGCTTCAGTAGGGGTTCACTGCAAGTCATCAAGAATGATTTTTAAGACATTATGAATGTATTACTACTAAATATCGAGAAAACAGGTGAGAAGAAGGGAGTCACTTCTTTGTGGTCTATATTAAATTTCAAACAGACCAATGCTTCCCCAGTTGTACTAGAGCTGATGGGGGGGGGAAAAGGGGGAAGAGGAGGAGAAGAACTGAAAAGTTGAAGCTTTTCATTGAATTGTCTAATTCCAGAAATAAACAAACAAAACAAACCACACACCCCAACACAAAAACCAACCCCCACTAACATTTTCAGTAAAAGTTTCCCCAAAAAAGCATCCCATTTTAAAAGTGGGCTTTGACCTGTACATCTGCTGTAACCTTAACAGCTGCCTAACTAAAGTGGAATGCCAACTTGGCTTTTTGCTTCTGCAGAAATTGGGTATGAAGCTTCAAGAAGTTGTGAAAAAAATATATTTAAGCCAGTGTGCAGCTTAGATTTCCTACCACTTCATGGACTGGTTTTTGGCAAGACTGCAAAGTTCCCTGAATCACTTTCAGATTTGCAGTGATCTTACTACATTATGATGATTTCACAATGAACTCCACCTAAATCACTGCCAGAGTAGGAGATGGAGCATATTCAGTGATTCCTTATTATCTGGCTGAGTTGGGGAATCTGTCCATTATTCACTCTCTTTTATGCACACACAGCTGAGAGAACAAACGATTCTTCTATGGATTACCATCTATATACAGACATCTTTCCATAGGAATGTCTCTGCAGTATTCTAACCATCTCCTCTCCCAACTTTCGCCATTTCATCTGATTCTCACCATCTTCCTAGCTACTCCAGCTCACAACCTTGAGACAATTTTAGGCATGCATTCTTTACACAGCCAACCTTTCTCCCAATCCTGCCAGGTGACCCTCTACAGCATCTCAGAAATACATTCATTCACTTTTACTGCAAAAACACTCTAGTGCATGCTGTGACTAGTTGGACACCCCTTCTGGGATGCCACTTGATGTATTGGGATTTCACTGAGCCTCTCCTACTCAACCAGCCTGGGTTCCCTCTCCCTGCTTTGCT